CAGCGAGTTCTTATGTAGGCTGCAATTTTCTGGTAAATAAACAATATATTTGTGTACTACGTCGCCATATCGAACGACCACCGGCCATTAAACGTCCATGGAAGTGATGTATATATGAAATAGGTCATAGCATGAACCTAATTATAACTGTAACTGTATTCGACTTGTTGACGTTCGACACTGTGCAAAGGTGATGACGCCCGCCCACCCAAGAGGCGGTTTACTGCTCAGCTGTAAAACATCTCTATTTACAGATACCTATATTAAGTAATCTTACCTCCGATCTCAAAAAGGGATAACTAAAACAGCATGCACTGACATAAATCTCTTTGATTTCTTAATCATACAATTCTGAAATTCAAGGAAGTAGAAAATTGGCAGCCATTTCCGAGTAGATAACGCCCTCTCTGGGCGACGGTTGGTTAATATTCACCTGTTTTCAAAGATTTTACGAGACACACATCTAAAAATGCTCTGATATGCTACCCCATGTCTCTGAAGTAAGATAATCTATAATGAATGTTTTTCATTATAACAAGGTTTGAATGAGGGTTACGTTAATCTGGACTTCAAACGATACATAAATAGAGAGTTTTTGCCGTAGAGGGCGACATGTGACATCATTCGTGAACCATGACGTCATCACACGTTCAAATACAAGAATATTGTATTTAGTCACTGCACACCGAGGCATTATCTACTGGCAAACGTTATTTTTGTTTAGTTTGAAGAAGTTACTCCTAGTCCTTTGGATGACATCACCTATTTCAAATAAAACCAAGTGCAAAGAATTAACCCTCATTTCCATTTATTGTTTAATGTATTAAATATTCAAATATGCATGATTTGTGGATATCCCAAAGTATTTCATTAATCCAACCGAAGAACGTATATACACGTTCTTCATCATGGGTTAAAATGCGCGTTCATTAGAAACTGTACATTTCAAATATAGCACCAAATAATTCGTAAAGGTTTTAATAATAGAAACTAGTTCAAAAAGAGAGTCAAATGTAGAAAACACAGATGTGGGTTATGCATGCTTGCTCAATTAGGAATTAACAAACGCAAACTGGCCCACCCTTGGATACATTTACTGTTTGCCTAATTCATTTTCATTTGAACAACCAAATTGCTGGCTAACTGCCAATTAAGGTCAACATTGAATTCCACATTGTAAATCCATGACCCATTGAAACGTATGGAATTTCAATTGCTTAAACTAACTACTGAATTTCAGACATACCAGACATTCCGGCTACCCTTGTAAGACTTTCGCTACACACAGGGAGTGAGCTCAAGACTTAAAGCGAAGTAATAATGAAATTATATTCTTGAGCTTTTACTATGAAGAGAATCGACGACGTGTAACCTACATTATATCTCTAATCTATATATAAATACACTGCATCATGTTTGTTCTTCTCTTTTCAGGTTCAAATCTAGTTTAATAATCCAGAGGTTGTGGCAACCAATAAGTTTCCGGTTGTCATGGAAATTAACCCACGGTTTTAATAGCCTCTCGATTGAACTACTAATTTGATCTTGAATCTGTACAGGAAGTTTTAGCCCTTCTCTAATTTGTTTGCCAAACTTTAGCGGTTGTTAATTTTAGCCTATGAGTAGTTATAGCTTGAGAGGCGTGACCCGTGATTTAATAATCACCAGGCTGCAGTGTATTTTGCCATATCCATCAGTTAGGTACAGATAAGAGGCAATCTCATAATCTGAAATGTGTTGTAGTTCAATAGTCTGTAACTTGATTTTATTTATAGTATCTTGGCATGATTATTATCTTCAGTACATCGAGCTCTGCTCTCCACTTCATCGAACAGTTCGGGCAAACCAAAAAAAAAAATTAAAGGTTCATCAACGAAAGAAACGGCTTTGTCAACAATAAAGCCACCACATTTCTGTTTATTGTCATCTGCAGTTTCCTTGAGGGCATAATTTGATCAGCTAGGTAATGATGTTGTCCCAAACTGCTGAACTATCACTTAGGATCTTAGAACTCTCATGGCACCACAATTTGTGGTGTGTACTTTAACTTGGTGAAACATCTGTTTGATGTCATCAACCATGGCAATTTGTTCTTCACGAAATTGAAGTATTACACCAACAACCAAGCTACCCTTAAATAGTTGAATATTGAGGGTTGTGCCTTGAAACTGGGAAGTCAAAGAAAACTCAGACTTTATCAGGTTTGTTCGAATAAAACATTGGATGGTAACTTTTTCCAGTTTTCCACTGGCACGTCCCTTGGAAATAAACTTGATATGATATGATGTGATAGTGCAATATTTCAGAAATATTAACGAATCTCTGTGCGAAGCTGGCCTTGAAACCTTGGTCTTGTTTTTCTTCAACTCGTTTGTTGTTTTGCAGGAAATGTGTTTAATATCCCCATGGTAGTGCAAGTGCGCAGATAGGCATCTTTAGGTGTGGATGAGTTGACGTACCTGCCCAATTCAAACTGAAGCATTGCACATCAAGTTTTGCCACTGTCCTATTGAAGCCTGGCTGTACTCTGTATGTACTGTAGATCGATGTCTATCAGAAGACATACGTGTGTATGAATCATCCATCTTTCCGACCGGAATTCTGGCCAGAATCCGGAATTTCATTAACGTTTGCGTTTGTTGGAGGTAGCGTTCGCTTATTTCACCGTAGTTACATATCACCCTGAGCGATACTTCAATCTCACATAACTGTTTAACCTGAAGCCATTAAACTGATACAACTCTAAGCGAACATTGGTTTTAAACATTCTGTATGTTTTCCAACTAGGTAAAAGCGGGATTGGTGTGATATTTGTGATAATGCACTCTAATCGAGACACATTCTGATAAAAAAACAAACACTAAAATACATCATAAAAATAGGTAAATGAAACCTCCAAATAAACAGATAAAGTAGATATACACGTGTCGTCATACATAGAAGGTAGAAGTAAGAGTGAGATTTTAATGACAGTTAATAGGGAATCTGAAATTATAGTACTAATTAGCTCACAGCGCATGAGGATTTGTAAATTGTGACAATCTTTTGAATTTTCTAAGGTATTTCAGATTCTCAGTTGTATTTGATTCTTTACATTTGAAAACTAAAAGGAACATAACTGCTTTTTTTAAAGTGATAGCAGTGAGAATCTGCCACGGAACATGTGTTGACAAGCGGAAATCGAAACGAGATTCCTCACCAATAAATCAGCGTTCATGACAATCACTATTGTAATGTACACTCTCTGCGCAGGATGTCATACCATAAAAACAACATATAACATACAAACTGGCGGGAAACAATGTTAATATTTAGTTGATACGCACACATAATTTGTATTTGATCTGTTTGACAAAATAGATATTGTTTATTGACGTAGCAAGTTTTCACACTTTTCACACGTTTGAGTTAAATGTTATAAACATTATGAATCTAAACATTTAATACAAGTCTGAATGATATCAATAGGAAGCGAAGAGTTATAGTCAAACTTAGAATGGCACTCCATGGTCTTGCAACCATCCATAGTACTTGGACACTCGTGTGTACACTCCAGGGTAACCCGGATAGGCACATCCAAAACCCCAACTGGTTATCCCCGCTAAATGCCAACGACTAATACCAGTGTCCGCATCTGTGTGAATACAGACGAGTGGACCGCCAGAATCACCCTGTCAAAAACAATAATATGCTTTAATAAAGAGTGTACTGTTTATATACCCTATATATAAAACAAGTTTTTGAAATGCAGTCCCTCACCCCCTTGGCTATTTTCGCCGATTTTTCGTCGCCGGAGCGATTCACGTCCCAAATTTTGGTTCTCCGGGCGTCTCTAATAAATACCCTATCTAACCGCTGGACTGAATTAGCTATATTATGAAAACCTCATAGAAGATTGGGCAAAAATCGATCGTTTTGGGTCTTAATATTTTTTTGCTCGGAAACGCAAGGACGATAGGACTCGATTTTCAAGAACGCAGGTCGCTCGAATCGGACGGTTTCTATTGTTTCGAGTCTGTTGTGTGTCCAGAAACATAACAACTTTGTTTTTTGGTGAATATAGAACATGCTCTGTTCCAATAAAGGATGGCCGGGATAGATGTATTTAGTGTTCATTGCTATGCAATATGTCTACACCTGCGATTCTCAATTTCGATGTGTAAAATCATATCGCTGCCGTGGACGGCGACGGCTGACAGATTGTTTTGGTTCTGTGGCTCTCTTGGCATGGGCAACTGATTTTTAGGTTTCTGTTTTTTTGATATTCTGACGTTTACTTGCTCGTATTTTGTATATACCACTCAGACACTGACAACAAGTGAGTAAAGGGACCGGGACACAGTCAACATGGGACTCTGAAGGCTCCGGAGAAGGCGTCATATCTTACAACATTAATGAACGAAATTTACATCACGATCTCATGCTTCTGAACAATCTGATATTTATGCTGGATAACAAAGTATACAAGTACTGTCTACGATATACTGCAAAATGGAAATAACATACCTCTTCAACCGTTGTTGATTTTTGTACAAAATTCCAAGAACACAAAACAAACAACTGACAACAATCCACAAAACAAAAACACTACACAGTCACTGTAGCCACACCAGTGAAAAAATACTGTGGAACTCATTGCAAATGTAAATACAAAATAAATGTCAGTGAATATAATATTTATTAATTTTCAGCCTCCATGGACAAGTTCACAGCATCAAATATTGCAAAACCGTTAGTTGTGAACTGAACTTTAAATCTCATCAGGATTTTCACATGAAGTTACACAGATAGAAAAAAAAATGCAATATTAAGACAAGAAAAAATAATGCTTTTTTGTCTTATTAGGGGGGCATTTTTGTGAGTGTACATGTATGCATGTACATTACATACATGTACATTAAAATGATCAAAACTTAAAATGTAATCATAGTACAAGTGTAAAGTAAACAATATTATCGAGTGATTTTGAATTTGTTGGAAAAGTAGCCGAAATGCTGTGACATGGTCTAATTGGTGGTGCGAATTACCAAGCCAGTTTAGGCTGGTTTACGATCCACTCCGCTCAAAAACAAGCAACATCATGTTTTCGGCTGTTGTCATGGTAGGACATGAACGTGAAGCTAACGTCGGTTTATAACTAAAACCGGGCCCCATATACGAAGTTCGCAAAAAAACGTTCAGTCTTTTAGACGTCACTTTCTTTTATTGGTAGGACGTATTCTGCTGTTAAATTTATTATTTCCAACCGTTTTGCGATAGTATTTTCTAGATTGAAGGCAGCATTTACAGTTCATTCATAGTTCAAAGTTGCGTTGGGATTACGTTGATACGTTGGCGCCGGTGATCTCTTACCAGTGTGCAACATAGCCAAAATAAAAAACATGATCATATGAACACTGCTATTACAAGACTGGTAGGAAGTAATACATTTGAGGCAAAAGTATTCAAAAATCAGTTTTTGGCTGTTGCCATGGCAGCGGTGAGCGAGAATTTGTTATCAATTAGTGACGGTACGACCTGCCTGTCAAGTATGAACAAAATCAGCCAAGCCAAAAAAAAACACATAGCAGTTAAAAACCGTTGCTGGTGAAAAGTTACCCCAACTTTGAGGTCAAGTTTCTCAGTAATGAAAATAGACATAAAACAACCAGTAAATTTATGCCCACACTCAAGCTGAGTAGAATGAGCTACTTAATCCTAGAATTGTAGGGTGCGACACATTTGGCGCGAAGGTATTAAAAAAAATCATTTTTTGGCTGTTGCCATGGAAACAGTGGGCCAGAATATGTTTTCTGATTTGACAACCTAACTAGAGTGAAGGTGTGACTTGCCTGCCAAGTTTGAACCAAATCGGCCCAGCCAAAAAAAATCACAGAAGAGTCAAATTTCTCGGTAATGAAAAACAATATCAAAAATTCAAATAGTAACTTTGTGCCCACATTCAAGCTGAGTAGAATGAGCTATGTCTGAGGAGTTTTGTCCTAAATTTGTAGGAGGAGATACATTTGGCACGAAGCTATCCATGGCAACGGTGGGCCAATTTTTTTTCTCAGATTTTACCTAATAACTAGGGTGATGATGTGACCTGCTTGCCAAGTTTCAGGGAAATAGGCCAAGCCAAAAAAATCACAGAAGAATTGATACGTGAAAACACACAGACACACAAAATTGATTTTAAGGGCAATCCTAGCGGAGCGGATCGCCAATAGTGAACAAAAATGTTCGTAAATATTACTGCCCGCAAAATACGCTCATCGCGAAGTGTCTTGTTTATTGATAAAATATATGTAAATAAATCTTACCTGACAAGAATCGATTCCACCAGTGAGGTAACCAGCACATACCATGTTTTCAGTTACAAGGGGAGACCAATAACTGGCTATGCATGTGTCATTGGAAAGAATTGAAACCACTGCTTCCTGTAGAATATTTGGCTGATCTCCGAGGACTGCAAGCAAGATAATTATTTAATCATAATCTCAGCATATAATGTCGATGGTATTGTGGAACTTTCTCGCCCAGTCATAAACAATGATACATTTTCTATAGAGTAACTCGTGATTATTGGCTTAGAACGTTATAACGGAGCGAATGAAACACAATTCAATGGGCAAAACATCTGTCGCGTCTAATTCGCACTCAATCATGTTTAAATTAACGAGTCAACGAACCATTGCAATATTGTAATGTATGTTTACCATCACATTTCATTTAACGCCAAACGCCCATCGTTCACACTTACATTCTAAAGTTCCCCATCCAGTAATGTAACAACAGCTGTCCTCATAGAAAGTGACGTCATCATCAAGGCAAGCATAGTTAATGAAATCAGTTGTGCTGACATCTTGGTCGAGAATAATCAATGCGATATCATTGTCGTTATTTTGTATCCCATAAAACTCATTATGTCGAATGATTTCTTGGACGCCAACTTCTATTGACTCGTCGTCAGCAGGACTTGGTGGGTTGCCTCTTGTATATCTTCCTAAACGAACAATCCAGGCATCTGGGCTGTATACGCAATGAAAATAAAAGGTACATTAACAGGTAAAGTGTTATGTGTTATATGCAAATCAATAAATTATTGTTGAGATTAAGTTTTTTAGGGGGGAGGGGGTAAGGAGATGGACCAAAGGCAAATGATGGTTTAACACATCTAGCAAATTCGAATATGTCCTACCCAAGAAACTTACTATGGTGGGTCATCAAAGCAATGAGCTGCTGACACAACGTGTCTTGGTCCAACTAGGGTTCCACCACATACCTCGTTACCTACTGGTATATAATATAACTGTGCTTGCCATGGCCATTCTCCAGGTAGTGCATCTTGTCCACCCACTATGCGAGATTCGCTGATTGTAACTCGGCTACCGCATCCGGAATCTAAGTATGAATGTCATTTAAACGTCGTCAGTTTGTAACATGTTGGTACAATTCGTCGTGAAATCTTCCTTCCTTTACGGGTGTTGTGCAACCCAACCAGTTTCCGTTTGTAACGAATGTAAAACAAGGTAAAAACATATATTTGTTTAAATTAAATTATTATTGTATTTTAAACTACGCACCACATTTGCATGCATGTTACGTAAACGTAAATACACCTACCAGCCTCATGTACATCGCATATGTCTATTTATGAAAAAAAAGAAATTGTTCGGATAATTATTCTTACAATCATTGAAAGTTAGAACTATTACACTTCAACGCACGAATAACACTTTAGACATTGATTACAGTCGCAGTAATCTATGGAGTATTATTGAAATGTCGACAATACAGCTTCCTTATGTTAACAATAGAAAGGTTATCATTTCGAATAAGCGAAAACAAATTTACACAGACTGACTGTGTATGTTTCAATCGTTTTGGTGTGATCATTTTATAGACTTTTTCAACAGTTGTCTATATATGAGCGCGAGATTGATCATCAACAAAATATGGTATTTTAATATGTTATGTAGTATAGGGGGTTCAAATGTTACAAGGATACATAAAATTACAATACAATGAATGAATTGATCACGTGACTGTAGTGCTTTTCATTCACAGTTTTGACATACAGTGTAAAATATCACTAGCTGATATAAAACTGTAAACGTCGTCATTTCACACATGTTCAAATAAACTGTGCAGTGGTACCATATTTATTGCTGGAAGGATACACAGAATCGGCTTCTCCATTGTTAATACCTTGAGGGTACATTTCCCGGGAATAACAGCTCGCCCACGCTGAAAAACTACATACAGCTCATTTGGTGCAACCTAATGTATCTATCATTGCGAAATTTGATTTGTTGTCTTTTGCACCAAGGATAACGAAATTGTCAATACTGTTAAAAAATACATTTTTTGGTGATAACAGCTCTAAAAACTACATATAAATCATTTTAAATTCAGACTAATATCTGTTCCGAGAAGACCTAGGAGACAGGTCTCCAAGCGCCCTCTCTCTCTCACTTTATCCATTATTCAGCGAAAACGTAGAATGTGACAAATTTAGAAATGTTAGACATAAGCCCCGCTCGCTGAAGTTCAATATTAACATTTACCCATATCCCTCCCGTTAACATTAATAATAGCACATAGATGTCATTGCCAAACTTGTTTACCATGAGGATAAATGAACATGTTATTAAAGTACATGTCAGCGGCAACTCCGTGAGGAATTTTGCCTGTCAATATTATATATATATATATTAATGGTGGGTAGTTGCCCAAATGGTTATTGCTTAATGCATTTTGGCATAATGAAATACTTGCTTAAACTATCATTTATGAAACATTCTCCCGCCAGCATGGAACAAATAATACCATAACATACGTATAATAGACTTTTTCAATATACAAAAAAATAATTATTACAATTATCGACTGGATATGTATTCGAAAATATTTAACAGGTCTACAATCCTACTGATTATCGTTGCTTATCGGTGACGGTAACTGCAAATACATGTCCGCCGATGCACTTAGATGTCATGTCTAATTATCATAAATCATCATATAATTAACATATGTTTTTTTTGTTTTTGTTTTTTATATTTGGCACTCAGATTTGGAATGCAAAAGTCATCTCCTGATTCACACGACTGTTATCGTGAGGTGTAATCAGCAACACAATCAGTTGATTTCAAGAGACAACTGTATAACGTACGCAGAATATTTTTATTGATTAAGATCTGAATGCAATCTATCAGTATAGCACCCACCTTCTTCCACGCAGCAAACACGCCTCATTTCTACCGTTACAGTCCTTCATGCAAAATGGATTAGATGACAGGGTTTCTCCCTTATTACATTTATGAGCACGACAATGACCATTACACTCATCTTCACATTTCCGCTCATCTACATCTGTCAGAAAAAAATGAAAGTATTTATTTGTGAAATAAAAGACAAACAATAACACATTTACGTGTGACCTGACCCCTTTTTATGATCATAAGCTATGCAAATTTTGATTCAAAATTAATATTGATAGAGAAAATGTTAATTTATTTTTTGTTCAAATTGAAGTTATACCAGAAACATCTTTAATATTTCTAAAACTAATACATTAAATAGAAGCTCCCCGATCAGTGTTCATACAATAACCTAATATCCGGCTAATTTGTTATTGTTAATTTGCTGGGAAACTTACCAGGTACACAACACAGACGATGATTGCGATCATCGCACTCATTGACACAGTCAGGATTAGTTGACTCCTGTTCATTCCTATTGCAATGATTTGCACGGCAGCGTCCATTACATTCAGTTCTACATTCATTATAGCCTATTAAAAAGAATGACAGTAGACTTTGTGTATAACAATAAAAGTAAGAGAAGTTCATCATGATGTAATATACATAATGTTTGATGTTATAAGATTGAGGGTAAAATATATATGTAAATATCAATCTATAGAAATAAAATATGTGCATAATTAATGAGGCCGTTTATCAAATTCTCTTTATCCATGTGCACATAACAACCAACAGGAGGATGTACGGTTTATGATGTGTCACGGGGCTAAGGCCAAATACAAATTACACCTGCCAAAATTGTCATTATCAACCAAGTTTCTTTCAGTATTTTGTTGAATGCTGAATGTTGACTGCCATCACAAATTCTGAACCTTACTTCTAATACACTGTTACATATACCGACTTATGGTGAATGTAGTTTTCAAATTGTGTGTGTTTTATTTTAGACTTGTAGGTAGATCGCAACTCCGTTATCAAACCACTACTATTACAAATACAAATAATAAACAATAATTAAAATGCATGTTTCTGCAATTGACTGCCAACTAAATGTGACTCACTTCCATATGTTCTCTATTGCAGGCAAACGACCTGTGTACGCTGATGCAATTTTTTAGGTATTGAATATTTGTTCTAAAAATAATATGCTTATTAAAAATGTTCATGTTTCACCATAATCCGTAGTTATTGAGTCACTCGATATATCCAGTTAATATTTCAGTATAGCCCGCGTAGTGTATCTAATTAAAGCCTGTGTTCGTTGCCAAAATATGTGACATGTTGTTGCTCTGTCGTATATTACATAACACTAGCGAGATACGCATTCGACAGAGAACACTCTGGTGTAAACTGTTTTGGGGTATTATGAGTGGAGTTTATAATTATAATAATTATGTTTAGTCTTAACTGTACGTGTATGTAGTATGAGAAACGAAAATATGTCGTACAATATGTTGCACTGACCTTCAACATTTATAATCAACTGTAAGAAACATAAAAGCTGATATAATATTAGATAGTCAGTCGCACGTAAAAGTACAAATACCTACATACATACGCGCGCACACACATCGATACTTTTGCTCAAAACGTCTACTTATTTCGAAAAACGATAATATAGTTTACCATATATCACACATATTGGGGGTGTTGATGAGTCACATAATGGTCTAAAAAATGTCCTATAACAATGCATTATATCCAATCGTAAGCTCCCGTCTCATAACAAAGTAAAAACGATTCATAATATATAGATGGTACTTACACACGCCAACGCTACCACTATTAACTGAAAATAACTTAAACGCATCTTGAATAAATGTGTACTTGGAGCAATGTACACACGATGACAGTCGACTATTGTTTGTGAAACTGGATTGCATTAGATGTATTTATATGTTTATGTCATCGGGTAGTTGCGGTCTGGCATAGAGCGTTTAAAATTAACATTCCCATCACACATTGTTTACCATGTGTTTACCAGTAAAACTGTACTAATGCGATTAGACAAGTATTGCTGCGACTTTGCTATATATCAGTTTCCAGACCTTATGCTCATACCTAGGTTTTGTATAGGAGTAATCAATATAATGCAATATAATATGTGTTTTGTTTTCTTTAAGCTAATTTTCTTGGCTAGTTTATTACATAACGTAATTTAGTGATAATCTTGAAGTGTTAATCCGGGTTTCAAATGTCACTCTAACGTAATGTAACTCATAGGATTAGTTACAATGCAGCTGTGGAGGGCTCTGTATAGGCTGATGTAAAATAAGAAGTATTACAGTCAATGGGTCTTTGATTTTCATTGGAAAGTTGCAATACCCTTTTAGCCGAATGTCGATGTTTGGTATGACTTTGCATTCAACCATTGGTATATTTAAACTAATTGTAAAATGGTTGTGTCCAGAAGCGCCACATGGTTGGTTGGAATGGGAAGTGTCATCGTCAAAATAAACAGCGATAAAAACGTGTTATTCAATGAAACAATTGTGATGAATTTGTTTTTGCGTATCTGTTAATCGACTTAATTAGCTGATTACTAGCGAATGGCTGTGTTATGTCTGTCATCGTTTCGGCCTATTTGAGATCCTGGACGGAACTCGACTCAGTGATTTGGAACTAATTACGAGATAAACGTTGCTATTCAGACCGCTATTTCTGACAGTTTGGTATTCGTAGTTATTAATGTAGTGAACGATTAATCAAAAGATATGACGTGTTCAGTACTTAGTTTGATTGGCTATGTGCAAGTTGAATGTGTGAAGGTTACGCCTTACAGTGTTTAAACTGCTTTGTAATTGGTTAAGTTTTTAATAAGTAATAAACAGTCTAAGTCGTTGGTCTCAGAGGGAGAGAGAGAGAACTCCATGAGAGACGCAGTCTTGGGCTAGTCTTTGGCCAGCCTTGCGATAGTCTTGGGGACTTTTCCCCAAGACGCTGTGTCTTATAGAGTGCTCAACTGACCGACTAAGACGAGAGTTGAACCGTATTTTGTTGTGTGCGTCTATTTGACTGTAAAGTTTAAGTGACTTTCCCGGTCCGGTACCTCAAGGGGACGCGATAGAGGGACGAGACGAGATTCCCCCCTGGCAAGTGCGGAGAACCCCGATAGAAGAATTTCCCCCCTGATACAATGTTCAAAGAGAAATTGATAGGCGATATTTGTCAGTTTATTTACTGCCTGTTGTAGCAACAAACACCTGAAATTATCCAATGAATTGCAATTTTTAAACTTTATTTTTTGGAATGGTGGATGTGGGATCACTGACTCCTTCCGACTTGACATGTAGGGCAGCATAAGTTCGACAGTCCTGTCTGCCCCAGGCTAGCTTCTGTATTGTTCCCTAGGTGTGTTGAAAAGTACTCAGTTCCGCTTCCATAGTTCGTATTTATGCAGGGCTGTGCGGGTGAGGTTGTCCTCTTGTCTTATGACGTGATCAAGCCATCTCCATAGCCGTAGTATGGTGATGGTTTCCATACTGTCATTGTTGCAGCGAGCGAACAGTTGTTGGTGGCAGATAGCTTTCAATAAAGCTGTAATTGGAGAAGTTATATTACAAACAAACAACCTCGGATAAACAGGATGGCGGAGCAGAAGACTAAATGAGTTGTTGAATGGCTTAAAGAAGTTAGTCTCGACGAGTTCACTGACCGTTTTCTGGCAAAAGGCTACTGTGAACTGGAAGTCGTAGCTGCGGTAGATGAAAGTGATTACGCTCATCTGGGTTTTGATGCAAAAGAAAAACCTGGATTAGTCAAGCTATTGAAAATAAAATTGGATCAACTGAGAAAGCATTTGAAACAGAAAAATGAGCAAAAGCTTGCCATCAACATCATTTGCAAACAAGAATTTAAGACAAAGCGGTAATAATTAAAATTATTAATGAATTTTTACGTACAAAGTGAAACATTCAGTGTTTTAAAGCAAGGCTGATGTCCCATAAAATATGTATAGTGGCATCAATAAAATCTGCTACTATATTTAACTTTGACTTTTACACAATAATTACATCATCTCTATAGGGGGCAGTATTGGATTAACCTCATAGTCAACTATGAATATTCTTTTAAAAAATAAGACTGTATTTCGGTAAACAATGAATTGAATTATCAGGCATCAAACACCCAATTGTAAATATTACTGCAGGTAATTGAATGTATTTATTATTTTTATGGTAACCCATTGTCATTACTACATAGAGTGAATTAAAAAGTTACAATTGTTACAACCCTGCTGAGGCAGGTGGTGACTTTAAATGTGTTTATAATGGGGTGAGTTATTGTTCACATTTTTTAAGATGTCGCAGTAATGTATTCATAAACACTTTATTATGAACTGTATATGTGACTCATAAACATTTCATTTTTTTTGCAGTACTTCCATGGGCGAGTTCATCTAAGTCCACTCCACAGCCTTTTAAAGAAATACTACCTTGGCAAAAATGGCTGTATATAAATAAAAGTCATGGTCGTACTGTATATTACCAAAGATGTATGAAGCTGCTTACCCGTATCTTCAGAGTTAATTCAAGGTGTATGTGTTAAAAGAAAGAAAATAACGATATGAAAGCAAACAGGAGTTTGATAGATGGAAAGCCAAACTTGAGTTTATAACATCACAGAATGATGCTGCATATGGTAGGTTTGTAAATATGAAGACCATTCCCAAAGTACATCATATAAATATTTGTGAAAAGAGTATGAGGGAAACCAAAGAAATAAAAGAGAAGATTATGGCTGAAGAAATGAAGACAAAAGACAAATACCTTACACTTTATGATAAAACAGGCAGGTATTTGAAACCCTGGGCATTATAACAGAAAGCACATTATGACAGTGTAATGGAAACTCTGTGTGAGATGGGAGAAAAGCCGGTAAATTTCTGACTGAGTTGGAAAGTACACTGGCTAAGTTAAACAGCATCTTCAGTGGAATGAATTTTGATAGCAGAAAAAGAAGCCGAAACAGGAAAGAGAATAGACGGAACAACGCAAACTTATTTATTTATTGTGGTATAATTTACACATTTACATAAACACTTTTTATATTTTTATTTAATTTATTGTTCTGTAGTCAATATAAATAATTTGACATATAACCGTCCATACTTTACAGGGTGTTGTCATGTACTGTATTTGTCAACATTTAAATTGACATTATTGCAATTTATAACTAGTTTATTTCTGTTTACAGTTTATATTTACAAATCACATTCCAGACTTACAGAGCGTGCTGTGCTCTTTTCACATCAAATGTGTTGGCATTAATTGTTGCAATATTGTTAATATTCCATTTCACAAGTTTTTATATCATTTGCTGTCATACGCCATAAATTGTTATTGTGGTGCACCGCAATAAATTATAATTAAAATACCGATATTTGCTAGTGTAATAATTTCGAAATGCTATAGAAATACAATGCAGATAATATCAGCCTGGAAAGAAAGTAACAGTTTATACTTGCAAAATTCTGTGAAGTATGGCATGTTGTAACTTATAATATCAATATTTTATAAATAAGGTGACCCCTCTCAAATGCTGTCTGAAAAAGACTGCCCCCCTCTTGATACTTCAGAAATAAGGAGCCCCCCTGGAATTTGCCGGCCGAGCCCCGGCTATAATAACTGATCCGACCCTAGTTTCAGGCCAAAATATTCGCAGGATCTTTCTGCGGTTCTCGATGTGGAAGGTGGTTATATGTGATTCAATATCAAAGATCACTTAATATAGTACCTATTTCATCCAATCTCCCGCTCGCTTCCGGTTTTGATCGTTACTTTTCGCTAGACATTTGGACCACTTCGTTTTAATCCTGATCGACCTCTTGTGTAACAGTATCGCTGAGGCCTGCCTAAATTGCCTGCAAAATTCAGACCTCTAACAATGTGATCAATGTACTTTCAGAGTGGAAAGCTATACCCAAATGTTCAGTACTCTGTGGAATGTACCGCTGCGGATTTCCTAAATTGCGTCTGATATTCCAACCACTATCAATGTGATCTGAGGTTTACCTTAATTTATAGTTCCTCAAATGTGTTCTGTTTTTAATTACCAATAATGATACGCAGGCAATTTGTTCCATTGACCTTGATTTGACTGAAATAAAATTTAACGTACTAATATTCAAGTGAATAAATAAAGGAATAAATAAATAAATATCACAACTATGTATCAGATTAACCTCAATATAAGAGTGAAGAGCTGTTTAAGCTGTGAAGAGCTGGGTGAAAATAGCCTAAGGTGTGCAATGGTCGGTGATTCTTTGATGTGTATAATCGGACTTTAAATACAGCAACTAAGCACGCTTACCACGTATCAACTTTACAACAATGAACGTTTGGCAGCTAAAGTTTGTTATATATTTAATTTGTGCGAATGAACATTAATTCTGAAGAGTGTCAGTACGCCTCTAGAGTGGTGACCAGTGTTTCAAATTAATTTTTTCAACACATAATAATTACCATATGTTTGTTTAAAAACTATTTTTTTTAAAGCTTAAAAATTATTTAAATACATATTATGGGTAAAGTATATAATAGGATTATCAGGTTATGTGCAGCGTTTATGAATTAATTGTATCTAAAAGGAGCCACACCATATGGCCATAAACTGAATAACTTTAACTAATACTAGTAGTATCCAATATGATGCAATATTGCTAGTGTGATGATTTTGTTTTTGCGTATCTGTTGTCCGACTTATTTAGTTGATTACTAGCGAATGGCTGTGTTATGTCTGTCATCGTTTCGGCCTATTTGAAGTTCTGGACGGAACTTGGCTCAGTGATTTGGAACTAATTACGAGATAACCGTCGCTATTCGGACTACCATTTCTGACAGGTTGGTATTCG